TTTTAAGAATAAAGGGGTGAGTGTGCAAATTATAGAAGAATTAAGTTAATGTGTCATACATTAAAATTAAGGGAGAGTACTTGAACATATTTTAAGACGAGATACAAAGATTTCTTATAATCAGTTTGGATTTATGACAGGATGGCAGGCAAGTCTATTATGGAATGTATACATTTATTGAGAGGTTTAATAGAGAAGTGCAGAGATAGTAAGGAGGATCTACATATGATTTTTATTAATTTAGAAAACTTTTATGATAAGGTTCCAAGGAAGTTCCTTGGAGAGTTCTAGAAAAGAAAGCTGTTGATCTAACTTATATTCAAATCATTGCAGATATATATACTAGAGTTGTTAATTTTGTTTGAACAAAAGAAGGATTTATCAAGTATTATCCTATTTCAATTGGATTACATCGGCTTTAAGCCCGTATCTTTTTACTTTAGTTATGAATGCTTTTATTGGATATTTACAATATGATATACCTTGGTGTAGGCTTTTTGCTGATGATATTCTTCTTGTGGATATTCTTCTTGTGGATAAGACTTGTGGATAAGACTAGAGAAATAGTTCATGAAAAACTTGAATTATGGAGATTTACATTAGAGTCTAAAGGCCTCCATTTGAGTAGATCTAAGATTGAGTTGTAACTATGGGCAATCAATCGTTAAAAGGTGTGATTGTTTTAGATACATTAGGTCTATGAATGTTATTAGTAGAATTCAAGTTGGTTGGTTGAAGTGTAGAAATGCATCTAGCCTATTGTGTGATAGAAAAGTATCACTTATACTTACGGGAAAAATTTATAAGATGGAGGTGAGACTTGCAATGTTTTATGTCACAAAATGTTGGCCTTTAAAAGAGAAGCATAAACAAAGTTAAGTGCCGCTAAGATGAGAATGTTAGGGTGGATGAGTGGCCTGACACTTAGCTCCAATGGCAGACAAGACTAGAGAGAGTCTTCTTAGATGGTTTGGGCACATTAAACAACAATCATCTGATGATCCGGTTAGGAGAGTGGATATTTTAGATTCAACTTATGTTAAGAAAGGAATAGGTAGACCTAAAAAGACTTGGGAAGATTCTATAAAAATGATCTTAATTTATTAAAATTAAACGAAAATGCGACACCCAGTAGGACACAATGGAGAAAAAGAATTTATGTAGCTGATCCACATAGTAGGATAAAGGAATGTTATTGTTTTTGTTGTCGTTGTGTACAAATACAACGACTCCATTAAACTTAATCCCACAAACATGGTATGTTCTAAAATTGATAAAAAAAAATGTTCATTTATGTGGGGAATAATGATTGAAATGAAAGAGAAGTCAAGAAATATATAAAAAATTAAGCTTGTCTGATATCAATCATGCATATGTAATAATGACAATTATAACAATATAAATGTTACAAAAATTTTAAATTATTTTAGGAAAATATTTTACTTATTATATGACCAATTAATACTCTAATGTTTTTTTCTTTTACAATGATCATAAGAAAGAATAGTTCAACTTTCCTTATTTTAAATTCTATTAGATTCATCTTGCCTTGTCTCGTAGCTCACTAGATTATTATCAGTGTAATCGAAATGCAAAACGCAATACGATGTATAAGTCTTTATTTTTATTTCAAAGCACAAAGCGTAGAGAGAAGTGTTGTTTTTATTAACCAAAGTGCTAATATGTTATATAAAACTATTAATGTATAAATACACATTCATGAACAACTATAAAACATAAAATATAACTTAAATGATGATTTAAAATAGAAAATAATGTTGTACAATACCTAACATAAAGGCAAACATCGAGAGTGAATGTTTCTTTCTTTTGAAGTTTAAAATTTTAAGTTAAATCCTTCGTATTAATTAAAATTTGCTCTAAAATTTAATCTTTTTGGTTCCCCCTTATTACCTAAATATAGGGTATTTTCATGCATTACACCCAATTCCTATATTTACATATCTAAAACCTAAAAATAATATAAAAATTTGGAAGTTTAAGTCTTATATATGTAAATATGTAGGAATTTTGAGGCATGATGAGCTAAATTGAACTCTATGCCAAAGTTAAAGGAAGATGGCAGCGATCAAAGTGCTTTGAAATCTAGGCCGAAGTTGAAGATGATGCTCGGCTCCCTTGTGCTCCTCCTCAAACTCTCAATCACGACTATTTGCTCCTTGTGCTCCTTCGAACACCATACTGAAGCCTTTATTTGAAACTGACCAATCTGACCAATCGGCTTTAGTGCTTCAAAGCGCGCTTCAGCGGAGCAAGGCGGGCGTCAATTGCTTCGCTTTTGCTATACGTGTGAAGTGCATTTCAAATTTCACTTTTAAAAATATTGACTATTATAACTATTTATAAAAAAAAAATGGAAAGAAAATTTTGAGGCTTGATGAAATCAGAAAAATTTTATGATCATATTTTATTATGCACTTTTATAAAATAAAAATTTTAGATAAGTAAACACATAAAGTTTATATTTTTTATTAAGAGTTTTGGTGTATTTGTAAATGAATGTACATATAATTAAATGAAATATTTTGGATTGCTTCCACCTAATTAGAATAACTTAATTTAATTGGAGTAATGTATTATGTGTTGTTTCGGGTAAATTTAAGTGTTTAAACTTTTCTCTCTCTATTTCTTTACGTGGATTATCAGAAATGGATGTTAGTATATTCAAACTAAATTATACTTGCCTTTATTTGTCCTATGTCTAGTAGAGAGAATTTTTTTGTCCGAACTCAGGATGTAGCTCAGTAATATATCGTGTGTTGTATCGGGCCCACCTAAAAAAATTTAGGTAAAACTGCGAACTCTGCAATAACCCCAAAATAACCCCAAAATAGCTCTGAAATAATCTCTGCAATTTCACTTCAATAATTTTGAAATATCACCACCGAGATTATTTTGGAGTTATCTCTGGATTATTTGGGGGTTATTGAATAGAAACTCATATATTTCATTTTAATAACCCTAAAATAACTCAAAAATAATCCTGAAATAATCTTAGCGGTGTTATTTCAGAGTTATTGAAGTTATTGAAGTGAAATTTATAAGTTTCTCTTCAATAACCCCGAAATAACTTTTGTAATTTCACTTCAATATCCCGAAATAACATCCGCAATGCAGCACACGTGGCGGCATATTATTGGGAGTCCGCACATAGAACTACGTCAGGAGTCCGGACAAAAAATTTGGCTATAGTGGAGGAGGAATTATTGCGTGCGGACACCGCATGCTTCTCTGCATGCGGTGTCTGATCCTGGCCGTAGATCACAGAGATCTACTTTCAAGATTATTTTCGGGTGTCTGATCCTGGCCGTAGATCACAGAGATCTACGGTCAAGATTATTTCCGTTTTTTTTTAAAAAAAAAATTTAGGTGAGGCCCACCGAAATACATCGGGACCGTAGATCAGGTGATTTACGGTCTGGATCGGACACCGCACGCAAGCCGTATGGAATTATTTTTCATAGAGGGGGTCATAATGGGGCGTTGCAAATAAAATCACCGTGGTATATATATCAACGAGAAACAAAGGAAGCCAGGCACCAGATCATTAAGTATTCTAATTGAGATATCTGAAATAGTAATCATATCTATCACAACGTATGAAAATTTTTTAATCTTATGTGACTTTAAAGCAAAAATTCGGTCTTGGTACCATTCTATTATTTCCTTTGGATGATTCATACTTTTTTTTTCTTTTAATGTTGATTTGTTCAATATATGTCTTCCATCCTACCTTGCTCTATTTTTTGAACTCCTCTTTGTACTATGTCTTCTTGGACAACCATTGAACAATTCCGTTTAAGGTGTCTATGATTACTCTTGAAGATGCATATGCATTACATACGAACTCTTTCAGACAAAATTCATACACTTCTTTTGCCACCTCTGTGCACCTAGAAAATGCATATTATCAAGCTCTAACCCGATATGGATAGCCTAATCATCCTGCTTCCTCAAGTCGTTGAGCGCTTATTCGATGAAGACACCGAACTCAAATTTGCGTCCGGAATCCAAACATGCCACGTAGCAAGTGGGTTTCACTGTAATACACCAGTTGTGTGGATTTCTTAGAGATGTGAGACCCGCATACCATGTGGCACATGCTAATTGGACTTCGGACATAAATTTTACGTCTGATGTCCTAATACAATAATTTTTCCAAGTCGTTAGTCTAATTAGAATTTGCCCAATGATAAAAAGCTTAGAGAGCAGTCAATGCTGCCTTTGAATTCGACGACTATGCTTCTCATGCAAATGTTGATGTTCCTACCTCAATCAACTGCTAAAATACACTGCTAGTTTCATCAGATGATTCTATGCCATTCTCATCTCCATAATTGAGCAATAGCACACGTAAAATAACTCTTCAAGTATCAAACATGAGTTGGGTTAACTGGGTTAACTGCGACTCCAAAAATTAACAACCTGGGTTGAAATGTGTCTGATTAATATGAAAACGACAAACATGTGGCAGTGGAACATGGAAACATGCTATGTAATTGAAGAGTACAAGATGGCTTAGGAGCTACAGGCAATCTTGTTAGGGGATAACATAGACGAACATGAACATACCTTGGGAAGTAAAACCAAATTTAAACATTGCTCGGGGTCATGATCTGACAAGTAAATACACCTTTGAACTTTGTCAGGATATGGTCCTCGATGGCAGTCAGAGGAATTGGATGCCGTCATGTGTAGCAACTTTGATTCTTTCCTAAATTTTTGGCTTCAATTTGATGGTTAGCAGGTTCATAATTAATTTATTTATTTATTTTGGGAGATCATATAAGCTATCTTTTCCAAATGGAGAAAGACTTTTAAATTTACTATATATCATGCGAAACCAAGATTCATGACATATGTAATATGACAAGTTCTTTCAAACTCTAGTATGAAAGCCTATCCATGTTAAGGGCAACAGAAAAAAAAGATTTTGCAAGCAGATAAACAATGGAGTAAATAAATCACAAAATGACCTTTCTGCAGTATCTTCAGATACCATTTACCCATTAAAAGAGTAAAAATTGGGAATGTATGTTTCTCAATAAATGACAAGTCAAGATATAGCTCATTCACTGAAATAAACAAACTGTCAATAGAAGTCAAAAAAGCACATCTGAAGAATTCCATAGCTCCCAATTACATGTTTTTCAAATTCATGGTTGAGCCACTGAAAGAATTCCCATAACTACAAGTTGATGTAAAATGACCAAGTTTATACCATTTCAGTTCCTTCTAATCATCCACTATTTGTTCGTTTGGCTCGCAATCAATTTGAATGATCCAACGCTCACATATACCAGCACTTTATATTGTTGTTTGAGTCAAACAATTTGAACCATCTGGCGCTCGCATATACCGATAGCTCAAGCAAGTCCCATCATTATAACAAAAATCAAATTCCATAAATTATACGTAAATCAAGAATCACAAATTCCATAAGCTCATTTTATCATCTATAGCCTTTGCATAGAGTGGAATCCTACCATTAAGATTCCTAAGCTTATTTAGCATCTGGTAGAGCCACTCAAATGTAAGCTTTGCCTGTAAATTAAGCTCCTGTCTAACATGTGGTTGTTTCCTAAACCAGTCCCCTAACATCTTGTGCACATGAGACCGAACCATTCTCCAAGGCACGGGATACTGTTCACAAAGCTTCAAGTATTCTTCCACAAGATCTATCTGGTCTAATCCACCATCTTCAAAGTTTTCATTATCACTCTTATCTTTCCATTCAGCTGTCCTGAGTCCGCTAAAAAGTGCTGGGTTCTCTAAAAGAGACTCTGCTGATAGCACACCATCGACGCCCGTGTGGGCCAAACAGCCTTGAACATCATCCATGTGGCGGATATTTCCATTTGCCAGAACTGGAATCTTGATGGCATTCTTTACTGCTTGGATGGCATCCCAATCTGCACGAAATTTCTTCCCATCTTTTTCATCTCTGGTGCGACCGTGGACAGCCAGGAGAGCGCAACCTGCCTCTTCCAACATTTTTGCGTATGCTAACGTGTCTTTCAAGTCCGGGAAAATGCGAACCTTACATGAAACAGGAACAACGAGATTGCTGGCAAGCTTTTCTACAAGTGATTTTATCAACGGAAGATTATCCATAAGAAAGGCTCCATAATTTCCTCGCCTAGCAATTCTCTGAGGGCACCTGCATAAATATAAATAAGGTGGCTCAAATTGAGTATATTATCAATCAAACATTTACACAAATTAATGCATGAACATAATGTAGGCCTCACACGATCTGATAGAAACGTAATAAGGAATTATATGATTAGTGGTGCAGACAAGAATAAAAACAACGCTAATTTCAGCTTGATCCTAACTACATTAGCTAGATTTAAACAGCATTCACCTTGAATCAACGCTGATATGTACATATTATGGAGCCGATGAATATAAAGATAATTTTCAAAACAATCAAGATTCACAAACAAAACTCTTTCAATTAAGGGTTTTATTAATATTTATATTAATATCAATTCGTTAAATCGCACCTTATTTCATGGCCTCGGAGTAATTGAAGAAAAAAGGTAAGTAGAAAAGGAGCTTGATTAGGATCTCACCAAAAAGGAAAATGTAAGGTATGGTTTACCAACAAAATTGAGACAAAAATCATTTCCTAGATAATCAGAGGCCTAATGTAGGAGAAAGTGTTAGAAGGTTTCAGAGTTCTAAACCATAAGAAGTAAGAGGATGAGTCTATGAATCAAGAAGAGATGAATGCTACAAATCTAATAGGAAAACAGTGTGTGGATTATGAAGAAGATGAAATAGAAATAACAAAGATGAGTTAATCCTTAGTAATGCATGCTACAAATACATAGTTTGTTTTAAAGTTATTTAAACAAGCATTTTGAATACTTTGTTAAATATAATTTATTTAGCAATATTTTAGACCCTAGAATACACTGACAACTGAAATAAAATATTTAATTTATATTACATAATTAAATGTGATAATTATCATTTCATGCTCCTCAAAAAAATTTCCTCATAATTGAAACAAATTTATTAAGTTAAAAAACCCTTTTTGCATTGTGTTCATTTAGTTTAAGAGAAGATTGAGTGAGGCGCACAACACCTCGTATATTGGGCGAGTGTGGCGCACAACACCTCGTACATTGGGAACCCATGCAATCTTGTAAGAAAACTGGATTGAAGCATTCAAATGCATCCATCTAGAAGGAAAAAAAAAAGGTTACTTGCTTCGAGGCTCAATGATAGAAATATCACAAGTGTTTATATCATGGTCTACCTTAGTGTGTAGAACAGAATGTAAGTGATCATAATGAGGTTGCCAAGGCACAAAAGAAAATAACTAATACCAATCCAACACAAGATGAAGGACGAATCCTAGTGAACATTCATGAACATTTTCAGTACAACCACCTAAGCTAACACTACTAACATTACTAACAAGAAACATCAAACTGTCTAAAAGAAATTTTAACTTATAAAAGTAAAAAAAAACTATTGTGATTGCCTAAAGATGCACATAAGGAAAACCAACTAATAAGAAAGGCAATCAAATAAATTACAAATAATAACAATATAAACGTTTCATATATAATACAGGAAAATTAAGTGAATATATTTAGCTTGAAAGAATGGGTTTTAACCTTAAATTTAAGAAATAAAGTGGTTTCCAAGAACAACATAAAAAGTGAAGTACAACAGATCTTTTGTTTCTTCAAAGAGAAAAATTGAAAGCAAAGCAAAGCGCTCTCCTTTTGAATTTACACATATTGCTAATATAAGTCTGAAGAATAACAAAATAAATTCTATACATAATTAATTGTAAAGAACAACAATCTATATTCTAAAATCAAATCTGGTAGACATGACATTGCTGAATGTGAACAATCAATTCTATGCATGATGTATAATATAATAGCACTAGATAATTAATAATTAGTGGCGAACAAAGATGCATGAATACAACACCTAATATATGATATAATAAAGATTAATTAGATTGAAAGGGTTCAAGAAAACCTATAAAAGCCATGTATTTCGAGAAGAATGAAGTAAAGAAATATGTATATAATTACGAATTTCAATATTCAGAAAACAAAGCAACTTGTAGTTTAAGTAGAAAATAAAGAATTAGTCAACGTAAACAGCAATAAAAAAAATCAAAAATGAATTTTGAAATAGCAATAACAACAAAGAATGGCTACACCGTAAACTTCAAAAAGAAAAACAAACAAATAAAAAAACTGCAGGTCCAGTAAAAGTCCAAGCTATGTGTGATTGAAGCAGGAGCTTTGATTGCTTTACAGTTTAAAAGAAAAAACACTTCAAACCTTTCAAGACAGGTTTTTATGCTACATACTCCTTATATTATAAAGTGTATATACTTTAACGGGCTTCAAAGTTCGAACTAATCAGCATATTCTAACCATGAATCTTTGTAAACTAAAAAAAAAAAATTATAAACAGCTTTACAAAGTAATCAACGTAAAATTTGCATAACACATTTCATTTTGCTTTTACTAAAGGGTTGTTTGATTAACAGAAAAAGGAATGCGGTGTAAGGAAATTCATTGTAAAGGTAATTTATTGTGTTTGGAATACTTCGAAATTTTTTAGTTCAACGTAAAATAAATGCAACACTACATTTTCTAGTTTCGTTTGATAAAAGGTACAGCTGTGGAAGCCAATGGGCAGCAGATGATGAACAATTGCGACCAGCATCGAACTACAGGCAGCGGGGGGAGGGGGCTACATTTTCTAGTTTCGTTTGATTAAAGGTACAGCTGTGGAAGCCAATGGACAGCGATGAGCGACAGACAACTGATGGCAGGCTGCGACAAGGAGACGATGGGCAGTTGGAGGCATGCGGAGACAGCGGCTGGTGACCAACAGGGCAAGATGACAGGGCAGCAGTGGCAAGAGCAGTGGTGGTGCTGGGAAATGGCAGCAGTCGGCATCGAGGAACATTTTACATGGTGGTTTTGTCAAAATCCAATGAATTTCAAATACAAGGAAAAAAAAATGAAATTCAAATGCATTATAATTTTACAATATATTTGAAATTTACTGGACCACATACCCGGATTTCTGAAACTCCTGCATAAAGAATGCAGTGCAGTCCTTTTGTAGCAAACCAAACAACCCCTAAAGATAGATATTTAAATTCATAGTTCTTACAACATATTCATGAATTGCCAAATCTATACCACGATGAGGACAAATCCGTTTACCCGAAGTTTATATCAACATAGTCGCAATAGGGCTCCACCTTTTTAGCAGCTTCCAAAAGTACATCCGGATCATTTGCGCAGAACTGGACAAATAAGGGGCGATCTTCCTGCTTAAGTTATCATATCAGAGAATGTCTTTAAGTTACTGTTGAAAGGAAATGAAAATTTCTCATATAATAAACCTATAAAAAGCCTTAAATACGTAACCAAACAAAAATTAGAAAAAAAACAAGAAAATGAAGGGGGAAAAAAGAGCTGAACAGATATTCAGAATGTTCGCATAGAGAAGCTAGTGCATATTGAAGCTCCAGGGAATGATCATGATCTCTCAAAGACAATGCCAAACGAAAAAAAGGTATCAAACCCAAGTTTTACCCACCATAAATTATGCCAACAAAAAAATAAGCCAAACAACATCATCATCAAGTCTAAAGTTAGACATACCTCTCTCTATCAGCTATCAACTTTGGCGAGCCTTGTGATGCAAGAGATTTTCGGTAAAGGGTGTTTACAACAAATATAGAATGATATGCATAAAATCACGCAAAAAACCAAATTCACAACCACAAATTTCTGCTTTAAACAATTATTGCCACTTTAGATAAAAATTAGAAATACACAAATCCCATGTAAACTAAAATTTAATGATCATCTAGCAACAATTTAGCATAGAAATTCTTAAGAATAGGAAAATCAGACGTTCAATTGGAATTCACGCTGTAACTGAAAAAATCATTAATCATGTTTGATAATATTCAATCATGTAAACAAAGAAATAAGAAAAGGAATTGAAATAGAGAAAGTGAGAGAAATAACCAAATAGCAATCCAAATCTCACATGGTGATAATTTTCTTCGAAAATCTATAGTCTCCAATTTATCAGACTAAAGAATCACATCCAACAAACACTCAGCAAAAGGAAAAAATGTAATCAAGTAAAATATCAACGGCCATTCCTTCTGCATGTCTAAGAAACCCCAAAAGATATAATTAACAATCACATCCTCAAGTTCAGAAATTCAAAAGTCATTAAACAAAATCCTGCAGCCATAAGATTTGTAAGAAGCAAAGACATAAGTCATGCAGCCAACAAATGAATATCCCAAACTTTGAAACCTAAAAAACAAACCAAGTCATTAGCAACTAAATTAAATCATCAAAGGGGACCCAAATTAGAACAAGAAATTAAGGAAAGTTTCAGAATATTGAAGAAGGATCTTCATCGCATGACTAAAAAAAGGAAAGAAAAAGAAGCTAAACTTTAAGGGGGCAGTTCGAGATCACTTTTGTTTGTTTGTTTGTTTTCTTCTTCTTCTTTTTTTAATGATTTGTTGAATTAAAACATGCTGGATTGTGTTAATTATTTTTAAAAATAATTAAAACAACTAAAAATTATTTTGAATGTCTTTATAAACAAATCAATTTTTTTTCAAGAAACAAAAAATAACTACATGAAAAATTATTTTAACCAAATGTGTTTTAAAAAAAATAATAAAAACAAAAAACAAAAGTAGACCCAAAAAGGCCCTAATCGCAAATTATTTATTAAGCACAAGTAATTCATTATTTAATATATCACATATTGGATTGAAGTCCTCAAAAATTAATATAATCTTCTTTAATACGATCAAAGTCAAACACTTCGATTTTCTAATTTTTGTGCAAAATAATGAAAAATCTACAAAATCCATCAAAAAGTTTATTTTCTATCCCACAGTCTTTTGATGCAAAAGCATATTCTCAAAATATCCAACCCATTCAACATGTTTGCCATGTTCTTCATAATTTCTTTAGGGTATTCAAATATTATAATTTTTTTCTCTAAACAAAATATAAACTCTAAAGATAATATACAATGTCGCAAGCATTAAAGAGCTTAACCAGTTGCTTATAACTATGTTTTGGAACCTTTTGCTTAGCTTCATTCATTTTTTCAGAAAAATAAGTGACATGAGACCCTTCTTAAGCTAATACCCTTCAATATCTAGTCTAGAGCATTGTAAAAAAACCATAAAAGTTCTATTAAAATATGATAGTTTATGTAAATATGAATTTGAACAGTTTTCTTTATATTTATAAAAAGCAAAATCAATAGATTTGAACCAAGAAAACTATCCTTTCGGAAGATAAAAATTGGTGTCAGTACAATACTAAATCTTTCAATAAACAATGCACAGGATGTAGAAAACCCATGAAAATTTGAACATCAAGAATACCAAAAGATGCTAGTCAATCAAGAGATACACTTTCACTTGATTTAATAAATCCCAAAAATATCATAGATAGTATAACAAAATAACACTCTTAAGTTTAAAAAATAACTTGTCATTTTGCAATACTTCAACGACTTGTAATCTAAAATTGCGTCAAGTAACATTCTCTAGTTTTATTATATGTCGGTATACCATCAAATTACATAGCAAGAAATTTCTAAACGGTCAAAAAACATGCTTCATAATTCTCATAGAAGTGTTTGGTGCATTAATTAGTCTAAATGGTAGAATACCCATGCATATAATCTATCTCAAATTTTTACCAGCATTTTTATCATTCATCTCTCCCATACAGTTTTACTAGGGAAATATAATAGCACCATTCATCATATACATGATATCCAATCAAGGTATAAGAAATTAAAACTTGATGACTGTCATATCAATTATTATGTTGCCTACACATTCACCATTTTTCATCTTTTCCTAGATATAAATTATATAAAAACTACACAAGAACTCATCCTCTTTAACAAATCGTGTTTAACTAGATCTTATCATTCCTTATAAATTCAGTATGTTCAATATGATTCAATCATCCCATAATGTAGTAAATTAGACGTAGGTAATTCAAAAATCAAATCAATAATACATGCGATGGTAATTTATAAGAAAGATCCATAGGATATAACTTTTAATCTATAAAATACTTGACTCATAGTTCCAAATCAATTTTGCAGCCATCAAAACATAAGTCAATCTTTCTCAAAACTTCTTTTAAAAGAAAGCTGATTTAGAATATGTAGTGATTTATTTAGTTCATTGGAAATATTAGATTCATTGTTACAATTTTCTTTCAATAGTTTTTAAAAGCAATTTTTTTTTTTTCAGGTTCTCATCCCTTTGATGATTTATTAAATTGCCTTGATATTGAGCCTTAAACCTGAACTCTTATAATAAATCTAACGTGTCAAGTTTTAGGTTTTAGGATTTATTAATGAAGGCTTATAAAAAGAAGCGCAAAATAAATTTAATAAGCATTCAAGCTTAAAGTTCATAAATACTTAGTTTGAATAAAAACTTTTCACTTTTTAAAAAAAAATAAAAAAATACAAGAAAATTCAACATAAATGATAATTAAATTGATAACGTTTATAAATAATGCAAAAAAAATCAGCAGCATCGAAAACATATATTTTATTGAAATTCACACTGCAACAATAACTAAATTAAGCCAAATTTTACAAAACTAAATCAAATATGTAAACTGATACTTAACTTAGAGATTTGTAAACGAAATGATAAGACATCGCCAAATAATAACATTAAGCTTGAAACTTGTGCCACGAGAAAACTTTTTTGGAAAATATTCACAATCTCTACTTGCACTAGGATAGGAAAAAAGGAATTTCATTCAACCACAAATTTATAGAATCATAAGCAGAATCTGCAAAGCATGCACGTACATGCCTCAAACTCTACCTATAGTCACTAAGCCACCCTAAATTCACAAATAAAAATATAGAAGATAAATTAGTAGCCTTAGCAAAGCAAGAAATTCTAAAGAAATATGAAACAGTTGTACCATCAAGTTGCAAGAGTGTTGAAAGGTGCATTTACAGGATAGTCACGTAGGGAAGAAATTTGTGAAAACTCGCTTGAAAGGAGTCATGACTAAGACAAAGGGTTTATGAATCACCAGCCACATAAATTGTGAACCCATGCAAAATCACAAGAGTGTGGCATCCAAAGCACTCAAAAAATTGGCTGCTAAATTTGAAATATGGGAGGAAACCAGAGAACAAAAAGGATCTAAGAAAGAGTTTAGAAATATAATCCATAAAATAAAAAATATGAACATAATCAAATGAAAATTTTAAAGAATAATTTTCTTAGAGGACTAATAATGCATAGAATAACAACATAAATTATAGAATAATAAACTAAATAAAGTGGAGTCAACTGTTAAGAAAAGCATAAAAAACAATTCTTTAGAACATATAACATACTCATAGTGAATTCGAGATAATGTGTGATTATGCAAAACTTTGATTTACAAAAATATTTAATAGGTTTTAAAGATAGATGATGCCAAATAATTAGAGAATTCATATTTTGGCACAAATATTCAAGAGCATAAAAAATGATTAAAAGTGGCGTCATTATAAACAAATCAAACTTATAATTCATATGATAAAATTATGAGGGAAAATAATTTGGTTTATAGTAAGACTCACTATAGCAAAATTTTTGTGCAAGGTATTTACAACACAACAACAACAACAACCCTTTAGAGAGTCGTCTTAAATGGTTTGGTCAAATTAAACGTTGATCATTTGGTGATCCAATCAGGCGAGTAGATGTTTTAGATTCAACATATGTTAAGAAAGGTAGAGGTTAATAAAATAATATAAAGAACAAAATATTTTAATAGAAATTTTAATGAATTTAAGGAGTATGATCAAGTATTAAAAAATTTGATTTGATCCGCATCAAGGAAAAAAAAAAGTAGGTGACAAATGCATGTTCAAGTTATTAAAGATAAGTAGCATATTTACTACTACTAAAAGCAGGTGTAGAGTAATCAAATAGTTCCATATTATAATATAATCAAATTAATGATCAACATTAAATTTGTACATTTATGCAGGTAATGTAGATGTTTATAAAGAATATATCTACATTATTCTTTATAGATGATATAGTTCTATTTAGTGAGATGATTATTAAACTAAATAGAAAATTAATTGCTTAAGAATGTTATAAGAATAATAACTTAAAATTAAGGGGTTGTTTAGTCAACTGAAAAAAAAGGTTTAAAAATATGCAGTGAGAAAAAATGTAATGTATTATGATTGCAATGTATTATGAATACTCATGAGTTGTTTGTTTGT